GTACGATAGAAACTTGTTTGTTTGTCAAAGCGACAATACAAGATATTTATATAAAATACAATTATAAGATAGAGATAATAAATATAATAGTGAAAGTAAATATAACTATGATAATAAATATAATAAATAAAATAATGATAAACGTTATAATAATGAAAATGAATATCATAATAATAGTTGTGATAGCAGTGAAATCGGTGAAAATAGTGATCACGATTTTCCTGGTAATCATTAGTGACGTTAGTTGGTGCAGTCATTTAGTTGCGCAAACAGATTATCACTAACAATGATGTTAATGACAAATCAGCAAAAACATTAGTGTATAGTAAAATTAAACCCCTTCTTCTTAATATTACTAATGTAAATTTGTGTAAAATAACTTTCAAAGCTAAAAAATCTATATATTGATTGATAGAATAGGAATAAATAAAATTCAAATAATTAGCTGTAGTATAAGTACTGTCTCGAATTTATATGATAATCAGATTCAGGACATTATAAATAATTTTTCTAAAAAAACTACTAATAGCGATGATGTAAGTTATGAAGACTCCATTCTAAATTGGAACGGACATGTGACTTCAAAAACCAATAAGACTAAGATATAAATGAATTTCTTGAGAGTAAATATATTAACAAATGATTATCTGCATCTCAATCTAAGCTAACCTATGACTGCACTTATTTTTGCAACAAGACATTGAATCAATATCCTGATTTATATAGAGAATTTAGTAGTGAAAATTTTGATTATTATGGAATTATCAATAAGAAAATATGCCTATTATGTGAGTTAAAGCATGATGAGAAGAAAAGTTTAGAAGGTAGATATAAAACTAGATCTTATTTTATTAAATGTGAACAGCATAAAATTGAGATAACTGCATAGTCTGATCATTTTGGTCAGAAGCACATTGTATAATCCTATATTTGCTTACACTCTATTGTGATATTTTTTTAGGGTTAATTTATGTCAACTATTACTTAATTTAAATTGATTTGTGATTGTATAAAAAGAAACATGATCAAGTCTGATAAAATATTAATTCTCAAATATTTGAATTAGCATGCCAAATTAAGTGGGTTACCAAGCATTTTGACAGATAAGATCTATTTCAGTTTATACAAAAAATATAAATAAAAATGGGACTTGAGCTATAGCAATTATTAGAAGGTCACCTTCTTATAAATTCGAAGCCAGAAAATAAAGTATCTGATTTATTTTTTTCTGAATAATATAAAGAAAAAGAACCTATCACCTTCGAAGCCAGACCTAATCCAAAGTTAATTATCAAATCTGTATTAAAGCATTTCATATACTTAAAATTCTGAAATAGTTTTAGAGGGATTGATAATTATAATTTTGTATCTGTTCAGCTGTGAAGCTTACCATATTCTATTTGCGATGAAAATATGAAAATTATAGATTATATAATAAATGGTATATTGTAAAAATAGAATGGAATATTTAGTGATAGAATTCCCATGAAATTTGCAGAAATTTATCAGGATCTGTGCAAATTTTACATTAGTAATACAATTAACTTTCTCTATTATCATACCTCTCAGGATCACCTAATGCTGTAACTATAAAGAGGTATGCTTATAGTAAAATTTTTATTATATAATCACATCTATATAAAATTTGGTTTGGTGTGATTATATATATAAAATTTTTTATAAATTATATCAAATTTTTAAGTCAGTAATATATAATAATTTATATATAATAAATATGTTTTTAATTTAACTAAATTTATGTAAACTTTTATTTTCTTTCTAACTAATATTTAATTTAGATTATTAAAGAAATTTTATTATAATTAAAATTACTTGCAAATTTAATAAAAATAAAAATACTTACCCACTCTTTCAAATTTTAACTTTTTATATAGATTTTAAACTTACACGAACTTAAATTTAAAAAATCTTTATGTTATAACATAAACACATATTAACCCCTTATGCATATATCATAAATGTGTACAAATTCATATTTATTATTACTACAAAATTATATTATACTAAAAAAAAAAGAAAAATTATTATTATCTGTATCACATATTACTAATTACTAAATAATTATTTATCTTTCAAAATATATATCAAGTATGATTTGATTTTTTAAGTTTGCCTCCTTAACTTTAACAATTCGTAAATATTTCTAAAAATATTCAAATTATTAACATTAAATTTTGGATCAGTTTGTTATTCAAAATAACTGATAAATGTTTTTAACGCATCAACTTCTTTTTTTTCTGATACTGGTATTACTTCATCATCTGATATATCTTCTTTATTTTTACTTATAATATCATCTGTAACAGATTAATAATTTATTCATCATCAAGAGATTCTTCAGTTGGAATATCACGATCAAACATATTAAGATATTCTCACAAATCATCAGCTTCTAGCAAATGATCAATAATAACTTTGTCTAACTCGTCTATCTCAAAATTCTGCATATTAATATCATCTAAATCAGAAGATAGAAGTATATTGATTTTGATCTAACAATTTTGAATTGTTATTTGAGAAATATTATCCCATACTTCAGCAATATGATCAATAGCTTTTTTAATATTTAATTTATTTCTAATAAAAATTATTAGTAAATAAATAAATAAAATAAAATAAAATAAATAAATAAAAGATTATTTTACTTACTTTACTTGATCTATTCCACTATTAAATTGATAAATTAAATGCTTGTAAAATTCCTTTTTGTATTTAGATTTAAAACTATAAATTATCCTTGCATCCATTAGTTGAAGATGTGCAGTAGTTTGGAAGAAGATAAATAAGCTTAATATTAATAAGCTTAATATCAGGTTTTTTTTTAATTGCTTTTTTCTTAGACTTTTTCTATTTTGAGCTAAATGGAATGATTATGCAACTGTTTTTTCCTCATTATTAAAATTATTCTTATTATTTAAATCAGCATCAAATACTTTTAAATTAAAATGAGAACCTGCATTATCAATAAGAAAGCAAATTTTTCGATCTATTATATGAAACCAATTATCAAGATAATGGAGCTATTCAACAAAATATCTGATCTCATTCAGACTTTTGAATTTACACGATATATAACAGGAAGGGCTGACCTATTAATATTTTTAAAGCAATGCAGATTTTGTGATTTTCTAATTACAAGAGAAGGAAACTTGTGAGAACTAGTAGAATTATTGCATAAAAGAATTAAGAGGCGAATTTTATCCTAAATTATCATAATTGTTTAATTTAGATTAAAACCAATAACTAATTTTAATAAAATTTAATATAATACTATCTTACTTTCTTTCGTTCAGAAGTTTTAACTATATTAAGAGTTTGATTTAGTTTTATTTGAAAAAATAGCCTTGTTTCATCTGCATTGTAAATGTCCTTCTCGTTATAAGAGTATGCAAGTGTAAATATTCTTCAGATAGAGTCTCAAGTAAAGTACTATTAGTTTCTCCTGATAAATTAATCTTTTGAAGACTATTTTGTAATTTAAATCTATATATCCAACTATTAGTACATTTCAACTGGTCTTCAATATTTAACATTCTAACAAATTTAAGTCCTTTTTGCTGTAATATTATATCAGTTAAAGGAATACCAGCAGCTATTGCTTGTGAAGTTCAGATTTGCATAACTTTATCAAGATCTGAAAATTTGAACAGGATAATAACGAAAAATTTGTAAAGTTTGTGAAAAAGTAAAATAGCAAGCCACTTTTCACAACTTTTCTATATTTTATTAATAGTTATTTTATTAATATTTAATTTTTGATAGTTCGTGTTAAAAAATACTGCAACATTACTTTAGTTTACAGTCAAATTTACTGTCATATATTCACATATTTCCTTTTTAATATCAAACTAATAGCAGTACGAATTTGCTTTAGTTTTTCTGATGGCATTATAACTGATAATAATAAGTATAAGCTACGTGAACTATGCAAACTGCGTATATTTATATAATAGATCATTAAGTTGTACAAAGATCAAAATATATATAATATACTGTGATTATATAGAAGCAAAATTTTTACTGTGATTATATAAGAGAAAAATTTATTATATTTACTATGAAATCGGGCCTAATAATTAGTATGAATATGTATATAATATATATGTGACTATAAAGAAGGAATTTTTATATAAAAAAGTTCAGGACTGAGTAATAGTGTAACTAAATAAAAAGAGTGATTATATCAGAGGTGACTATAGAAGTGATCGATTGTATTACATAAATCTCATAAAATTTTGTATAATAGTTAATTAAATACTATCAGAAGGAATATTGTAACAGTTCAAGCAAGTTGCATAGGTTGATCATGTAACATGATAACCAAAACTATTGATCTATTGATCGATCAACCACTTCAACCTAGTGATATACATTTTTGATGTTTTAGAGATTTGTTGTCCCAGCTATATGTCCCAACCTGTCCCACACTATGTCCTAAATGTCTATCTGTCCCATGACAACACTGCCTTAACCCATCACTAATTTACCCCATTTTCTGATTAGTCAATATTTCTACAATTATGATTGGCTGAAATCAGATCACATAATCAATATGATCGACATCACCCATGGTCTAAATATGTCCGTCACCCAATGTCAGTTCTAGACTTTACATTTTTTAACGAATAAAATTTTTCATTTATTTTAACATCTTGCTAACCCTAACCCTAACCCTAACCCTAATCCTGACCCTAAACTAACCCTAAACTAATCCTAAAATAACCCTAAACTGACCATAATTCTAACACTAAACTAATCTTAAACTAACCCTAACCTTACCCTAAACTGACCCTAATCCTAACCCTAAACTAATCCTAAATTGACCCTAATACTAACCTTAAATAACTCGCATCTTACACAAAAAAAGATTTAGATTTTTACCAGCAACACTCTTATATGTACCATATCGATGACAATACTATCGTTCTTTCCATTGGTACAGTTTTTTTATTACCACCTAACTTGCTTTGACGATCGTGTCAGACATAGATAAGTCCTGCACTTTCAAGGTTTTTTATCCATTTCTCATATTCTTCAACTGGAATATGATAAGTTTTCATTCTATTTGCTTCTTTAGATCTTCCGGTATTGTATTATCATCTTCAACACCTTCCCATACATGCCCAATACCATCTGTAGCATCAAGAATAAGTTTAATTTCATCGTCACTTATATCCATATCAATTTCCTTACCAGCTTCCTCAGCCTCTTCATTTATATCAAAAATAGAATTAATGTCTAGTAGTATTGACATGATAAAACAGGAGGGTATGAAAAGCTTCGAAATTTTATGTTTTGTATTTGTCACGTGAGAATAACAAGGAAATTTAGCGAAAAGTCTGTTAAATCAATAAATTCCAATGAGGAAACTTGGCGAAAAGTCCGTTAAATCAATAAATTCCAATGAGAAAATTTGCGAAAAGTCCGTTGAATCAATAAATTCCAACAAGGAAATTTGGCGAAAAGTCCGTTAAATCAATAAATTCCAATGAAGAAATTTGGCGAAAAAGTTCTTTAAATCAATAAATTCCAACAAAAAAAGTTATTTTTATTGTAATAATTCCACGAAAAAAAAATTTTCAATGGAAAAAAAAAAAATCAAATAAAAAAGTTTAAAAACATTTAAAACAATTAAGTATTTTAAATGATCATTTAAAAGGATATTTAATTCATCAATCAACAAGACGCCCCATGAAATTTAATTTTGATGACAATTTGTCATGTGACGTATGTACAAGGAAAATCGGCCAATCTTTATATTGTAAGTTTTCATGTTTGTGAGTTGTGACTCATTCTATAAATGGGCAACAATCTTTCCAAAAGTATTCGAATGTAGGTCAAAACCATCTCGTGTGCTGACGTATACTTACTAAATTCTATTTTTTCTAGTCCTAATCCATACGAAGGCAACGAAGCTTGGTCCTGGCTAGATAATCTTAAAGGAAAATGGGCGAGAAAGTTGATAACGTCATTCATAGAACCATTCAGGTATTTTATTCTTTACATTATTTCGAAATGATAGGAATAGCAAACGAAAAATTTTTATGTAGAAATCATCGAACTTATCTTCGGTATGGCGTCGAGGGGAGGCTAGTAAAACCACCACACTGTCGGCAAATTCCAATAATAACCATATGGGACGCAGTAACTCTACTTTGGACGGTCTACATAATGCAAATGGATTCTATCAAGGAAATGGAGCTTCAAGATCAGAAACAATGTCTTTCCAAAATGCAAATTATTTTGGCAAACAAAATTACGATGATGGATCCGATTCAGACGGGTCGCCCAACAACGGTAAATGTAACGGTATCAATGAAAGGAGGGAAAATCGTGAAATTTATGTTCGGGGCGTCAATTCGCAGTGGAATAAAAACAAAAACAATAACGGGAAAGATTCTGTACAAGAACAACGAATCAATAGCAATGTCGAGAGTGATAAATATTCCGACATTACAATGGTGCAATTCGAATGCTGTCCTAACAGAGGAAGAATCGAAAGATTGCAATTATCCCTGGGGAAACTGTGCCGAATCGGTGCCTTGGTCGGCCATGCATGGACGAAAGAAAAGCCCAAAATACCGTGTCGTCTTGTGGTCCCAAACGTACAACATAAGGGAGAAAAAATTCATGAAACAATGTCCCATGTGCCAACGAGCGAAAAGCAGGATGCAGAAGGTCGCAATAATCCGTTAATAATAGTCGAAATGATCGCAAATAAATTAGATCGTAAGCGTGTTGCAGAATTTCTTAACCGTCATATCGAAAGTAGAAATCCTACTACTTATAAATGTTACTTGGAAGATGTAAAAGCGTATGGTTTTGATCATATCATTCTCATCGGGGATTGTCACACTGGAATTCTTTTTCTGGATTGCTACGGTCGTGTTTTCGAATGGGAAGACTCAATGGGTGTTTTATGGTCGCTTGGAGATTATTTGAGTATGGCGGAAAAGGAATCTCTGACTAGACGTGTAATATGGAGTGTAGAGTATGATGGAACTGTTGCAGAATTTGACCCTATGGATGGTATGTCAAGATTTTGTTCATTCCTTTTTTTGTCTTCATTTTTATAATTGGTTCTTTTCTCCTAGATTTACAAAATGAACTAACCTCTGACAAACCTGCCACAAAAACGACGGATGTTCACCCTGTTGCAAAGAAGAAAAAGAATTCGAAAAAAAAGAACTCAAAAAAGAAACATCATTGATCTGATTTTTATATTGTGCTTTAATAAAGTGTGATGTGTCCTTTCAGATTAAATTTGATTTATAGTATTATTTGCATGAACAAATAATAGTGATTATGAAATACATAGGACAAATTTACTATATTAATATATTTTGCGTAATCTGCAGGCATAAATGATAAAGATTTTTTATGACATTAATGTTTTATATCCAAATTGTAACGACCATTTCTACTATGTAATTCAAGTTTGTCACACTTCTTCCAATGAGATCCTGAATAAATCTTATGATTGAATTTTTCGTCTACTGCACCTATAAATTTTTAGGGCGAGAGATCATTCTACATCAGTCTTAAGTGTATTGTGTTAAAGGATAATGTTTCTTCTGCGCAATTTTGACGAGCGTGTCTATCAGAAAAAATACTACGCCATATTATACTGCGCCCTGGTGACATCGGCAATTACATGTATTTTCAAGTATATATTATCTTGTCCGTATCGGGCTTTATTTTTAACTGTGTATGCATTGACAGTACATTTTACTGCGTCCTGGTGACATGATGTCACGCCTCGGCAATTAAACACTGCGCCTCACGGCTGAGTTATGACGTTTCTTTCTTTAGCTATACAGAATCTGATTGGCCGATCATCTCGTGATTTAGCCGAAGGCGCTGTGCATAGAACCTGGAACTCTCCTAGAACTATCAAGGAACTGGCAGGGATCTAGGGTGATACATGTGATATGTTATACGTCATGCAACAAACTGATTTAGCCAGATGCCGTGCATATGCATGAAAATATAAAATTAGCTTAGCCCGAGATATGATCCTATATAAATCCTAATATGCTTGTAATCGAATAAAAATGAATCTGATATTTTAATTATAATATAGTTGTTACAAACTGTTATAAATCACTATAAAACAGTGAAATTGCTATAAATTTCTTAACCAGTAAATCTGTATAAATTTGAATGGTGATATTGTCTAGTATAGGTTGATAAAGAATCAATATAATATACTGAAATTGCTAAAATCGATAAATACTTTAAAATCATTATAATCTGTTATAATCTACTAAAACACTATTATGGATTTAGATAGTAGAGCCCAATATAAGCTAGTTTCTGTAG